ATCATCTGCCTGCTGTCATGGAAAAATATTCTTTAAAAAACAATAAATCTTCCTACTATGGATAACCAGATTTAACTTAAACAAAGCTCTATTGCTGGGGGTATTTGCACACAATACTGATGTATGAACAAAGCACGGCTGTGTAGTGCGCACATTTACACACATATATGCCTGTATTTGTGCATACGATGTCTTTCAGAATGCAAAATGTTCAAGTACTTTTCTCTACCATTCAAGTGAGGAGGTATGATTTATGTGTGTACACAGGTAAAACACCAAACATGGTGCTAATTTATTGATATTTACCCTCCTTTGTATACAGGCCCATTAAAAGTAACGGACTGCGTTCAGATCTTAAAAAACAAACAAAGGAACGCCTAAAAACACAGCACTTTTAGCGCTGTTCTAGAATGATTGCTCTCACTCCGGCATTTGCGGCAGTATGTAACATGTGTATCGCAATCAACGTTTTCACGCATAGGCGCCCTTGATGCCTGTGTTTTGTACTTGGGTGTAACTTTTTTTTTCCATCATATAGGGGACAGGTTCCAGATGGAAAGGTTCCGATCCCTACTTGCGGTCAAGAGCATTCCAATCATGAGACCCTAAACCCCATCTCCCAGTGTCACAAACTCCTTAAAGGGCTGAAAGCATGCTAGAATATCCAGGGAAAGTGACAGCAGTGATCCTGAAAAGATATCATATGCGTCGTTTTCCAGGTCAGAGCAAGAAGGGGAGGAGAGAGGATGTGTGTCCGCTCTTCTCTCCATAAGCTGGACCCGGCCATGTCGGCCCTGGGCCCACAGATGGGCAAGCACAGCCCAGAACACATAGCGACAGCGCATGTTACCGGGGGGCTGTGGAAGCAATCAGGCAGCAGTGCAGCCGTCTGACTGTTTCCACCTGACAGGCAGAAGTCTGCCTGTCAGTTTTAGACACAATCCCGGTGGCTGCAACCACCGGATTGTGTGTAAAACCCCCAATGTCAGGTCCACACGACGTATGGACCTGGCAAAGGGGTAAAGTAAAGGTAAACTCCAGTCCCCAATTAAAAAGTATCTTTAAAAAAAAGACAGAACAGAAATAACAAACATGTTTTACTTACCTGCTCTGGGCAATTGTATTGCACAGAGTGGCCCTGAACCTCCTCTTCTGGGGTCCCCCACATGCACTCTAGGCTCCTCCTCTTCTCAGTATACCCCCAAAGAAAGCTGCTCCCTATAGGGGCACACCTATAGGTTCGCTCCTACGCTGGGTTGTGTGTTTCCATTGACACACACAGTGCGACTTGTCCCTACCTTCTACTCCTTCCTCACTGTACTTGACTGAAAGCAGCAGGAGCCTGTCAGTCCCTGTGTGAAGAGGAAGAGAGGAGAGAAGACTGCAGCTGGGCACAGCGCTGGATCGATCTAGGAGTCAGGACAGTGTTTAGAGGGGGATGGGGGCACAGCAAGTCCTAAAACATTTTTAGCTTTATATCCACTTGAAGGCAAATTTACACTTTATTTAACCAGGTTCACTTAATAAGGGCTATAAAGATAAACATAGGATCTCTTTTCTGGAAAACATGTTCACTGGCCAATGTCTTTTGTTATTAGAAGTGTTCTCTAGATCTCCTTGAAGTCTCATCTAACTTGTCTATAGTTCCTCCTGTTCCTCAGGGGAAAATAACAAGGAGCACTTAGTCCTGTATTTCTAGAAGGTCCGGCTGCTGAGCTAGTGTAGTTGACAGACACCCCCTCCTTCATCCGCTGTTTCGACCACGCTGCTTTCAAATAGATGAATAGGTAAGGGGTTTGAATTGACAGCGCTCATCTCGGTACCAGGCGCTAGCCCAAGACAATCGCTGTCACTAGACATGCAGGTGGAGGGGGCATGTCAGTCAGAATGGCAGGACATAGCAGGTACATTTACAGCAGAACAACAGAAATTATTAGTCCAGTCGTTAGGATTCAATTGCTCATAAGACAACTGCTTTAACCCTTTGTCTACCAAGGTACATTTATAAGCATCCTGGTAGTCAAGAGGTTAAAACAAGCTCACGGCCTTGTTCTTACTACCATGGCTGCAAACTGAGTCTATATGCCCATGTCTTTTGTGAAGAAAAAAAAAAAAAAGCACACAGCTGAGCTCAGCACAGGACTCCTGCCTGTCAAGTAAAAATGATTTGCCACACTGCGTTTATGGAACTGTGGAGTGAAAATGGCCCCTTGCCACCATTGTTCCTGCGCTCTCCCGGGACCTCAGTAAATGTGTTCTGGATGTCCATGAGATTTACCTTACAAATACAGTGAATCTGGGAAATGTGGAAAGCACACCCTTAGGACTAGGTTCACACTAATGCAGTGCATTACATCGCATGTGATTCGCACAGGAACCGCACCGCATTCCTGTGCAAATCAGATGCCATTTGTGTGCGGAGCGATTGAATTCAAACATTTTGTATGGCTCAAATCGCACTGCATCTGCACCAAAAAGGCACAGGACCGCACTACAATCGGATCGAATGGGTATTCACACCTATGCGATCCAATTCTGCACATCGCACCTCGTTTTGCGGACCGATTTCTGGGTGTTGTTAACTTAACTACTTCCTGACCGGCCATTGTATATAAACGGTTGGACGGTGGCAGTGCAGGGTCAGGTGGCCGTTTATAAACGGTCTCCCCGCACCCTGCTTGTGCGTGCTCCCCGGGAGCGCGCAGCACCGCAATCCGGTGCCCGCTGTGTCCTCCGGATACAGTGAAACACTGATCGTCGGACGGGACCTCTGTACGAGGTCCCGATCATGTGATCACTGATTGGCCAATCAGTGATCACATGCAAAGTAGTAAGCAAGATGTCACTTCTGACATCATTGCTTACTACATGTGAAATCTGTGAATGATCACAGAGATCACATGGTACAAGGCTATTCACAACAGCCTTGTACCATGTGACAAGCTGTGACCAATCACAGCTCACTCAGTAGTTCTCAATGGCTGCAAGAATGCAGACAGACAGAAAGAGAAATGATTGCTTTTACATCCTATATGGGTGTAAAAGCAATCAGTGTAAAAAAAAAAAAAAAAAAAAAAAAAAAAAAAAAAAAATCTTCATCACCCCCCAAAAGTAGTACAGGGTCACCATGGTGATACTGTACTGCTAGGGTGACAGTATGTAAAAAAAAATAAAAATAATAACATAAATAATAATATAAAAAAAAATAAAAATGTAAAAAAAAATGTTTAAAAATTATAATTTTTGGTTATAAACTAATTTGGCTTATTTTTTGTTTTACTAAAAAGATAACGGAATAAATTTTTGGCCAAAATGTATGATGAAATATTAATTATTTGCAAAATTTTATAAAAAAAAAACTTTTTTTTCAAATTTTTTGGACATTTTCATTTACATAGCAAAAAAAAAAAATTTCCAGCGGTGAATAAATACCACCAAAATAAAGTTTTACCTGTCTCAAAAAATAATAAAAAATTCATATGGGTACAGTGTTGCATGACCGCGCAATTGTCATTCAAAGTGTGATAGCGCTGAAAGCTGAAAATTGCCCTGGCCAGGAAGGGGGTAAAAGTGTCCGGACTGGAAGTGGTTAACATGCACACCCGCATCGGTTTGCATGACAGGGTGCGATTCTGATGCGTGCAGAATTCGCTCAGAAAACGCTGCAAATTTTGCACCGCATCAGTGTGAACTCAGAGTTGGTCCAGGCCAGCTCAGTAGATTTATTTTAAAAGAGAAGTTCATCTTGTGAAAAAAAAAAAAATAATAACAAAAATAAAAATGCACATTTTTTTGCAGCGCCTTTGCAGCTGATTGAGAACTCCAAGCTGTCAGCTGCAAAGCTGATGGTACTTGTAGGCATTCATTCACAGGAAACTGAATGAATGACGTTGCTGTGCGGGTGGAGACCCACACGGCTGCGCTCTCTTCAAATTATGACAGCTGATGTACGTAGAAGTTCCCCCGCCCGCTGTCACAGGAAGGGGGATTGCGGGGGAGAGGCTGCAGATGCTGGAACATGTTGTATGTTCCACCCTAAAAATGGGTGGAAGCTGTAATATGTTCCAAAGGTGAACTTATTTTAAAAAGACCTGGATGCACTCCTAAATGCACAAAATATAACTGGATATGAATATTTACAGAAAATAACATCAGGGGTAGTTGACCCAGGGAATATCCGAATGCCTTTTGAGGATCATGGAGGAATTTTTTCCCCCAAATGGAGTGAATTGGAAGCCAGCCAAACACGATTCAAATCTCAGCTGGTTCAGCAGGGACTGGCCAAGATTCTAAGCATGTATGGGCAGGCTGAATGTACCCAAGTTGACCGATCGATCAACTCGGGTACAACCAGCCTGTCAGGTTTTAAATGCGATTATTGCTAGTGGCTCTGAGGGAGGGATTACCTCATTAACACTGACTGTGTTGATGGGGGGAAATCACTCTGTCTATGACCAGCTTTATTGTGTTTTTTCTTGCCTTCCTCTGGATAAAATGTGGGTAAAGGATTGTGTACATGGATGTTTTCTATTTGTTTGTTTCAATTGGTTGAGTTAGATGGACTTGTGTCTTTTTTATCTCTATATCTATGTGTGGCCGAGTAATGACAGGTGTCTATCCAGTGCACACTGTGTGAGAAACGCACGTTTCCTGCACCACATGGGTATGAACTGCCCTCTTTGGACATGTGAGGATGCTATTGTTAATGGCACCCCAGAGTAACTGATAAACACAGGTGCATTTGCAGCCACCAAACCCCATGGCCCCGCAATAAAATGGCGTCTGGGGCAGCGCAGTTTTATAAATGTTGCCTGCCTTAGGTTCAAGCTTGTGTGGGTCAGGAATGCTTGCGCATCGTGCGAGTCTCCGACCCACAGGTAACCCACTCTACTCTTTAACCGCCTCCCGCCCGCCATATAGTAATATGACGGACACAAGGTGTTTCTCTCATTCTGGGAGGACGTCATATGACATCCTCCCATTCTAACCACGGTGCGCTGTGTCCCTCGGACACAGCGGATCACTGTTCCACGGAAATAGCTGAAGATGTCGGCTCGGTCATGTGATCAGCTGTGTCCAATCACAGCTGATCACATGTAAACAGGGAAATGCCAGTTATCGGCATTTCTCTCCCCACGAGCTGTCACGCTGACAGCTTGTGAGGAGAGGAGAGCTGGTAATCGGCATTCCTCGGAGGGGACATGTACACAGATCATCAGAGCACTGATGATCAGTGTGTCCTGATGATCTGTGTAGCCCCAGCAGCGCCACCTGTCAGTGTCCACCAGTGCCAGCTCTCAGTGCTCATCCATGCCACCTGCCAGTGCCCATCTGAGCTGCCTTTCAATGTCTCCCATCAGTACCAGTCAGTGCAACCTATCAGTGCCAGTCAGTGCCGCCTAACAGTGCCACTCAATGCTGCCTATCAGTGCCATATGAGTGCTGCCTTTCAGTGCCCATCAGTGATGCCTGTCAATGTCCATCAGTGCCACCTACCAGTGCCTCCTCATCAGTGCCACCTATCAGTGTCCATCAGTGCAGCCTATCAGTGCCCATCACTGCAGCCTCATTAGCGCAATCAGTGAAGGAGAAAAATCACTTATTTACTAAATTTTATAACAAAAACTAAGAAAAAACGTTTTGTTTTTTTTCAAACTTTTCAGTGGTTTTTGGTTTAAAAAAAAAAAAAAAACAAAGAACCCAGAGGTGATTAAATACCACCAAAATAAAACTCTATCTGTCACAAAAAAAATGCTAAAAATTTCATATGGGTACAGTGTTGCATGACCGCGCAATTGTCATTCAAAGTTTGACAGCGCTGAAAGCTGGAAATTGGCCTGGGCAGGAAGGGGGTATAAGTGCCCTGTAGGCTTTTGGTTAATTGACAGGCACAGGTTCCATTAATTAATAACATCCCTATGAATTGACAAACGCGGCATGTTTTCGTGTGCACTGAAAGGATCTAGATAACCTCCATTTTCACAAGGTGCTATGCCAATGGCACTATTTACAAAACAAAAAAAAGAGTCAAGGTAGTCCATTGAAATGAATGGGCTACATGCAGGTTGCAGATACGTGAACCTAGCTTTCTAGTCTACGTACGCACAAAGCCGCATGCGCTCTGGTGTGATCCGGCCCCTAACTGCTGTCCTGACCTTCTCCTGTCTATGACACGCTATAGAAGGACTTCCATATTCTGATCACCATTATTCATATCAGTGAGATGGGGATCTGGGATCAGACTGGTCAGTACAGGGGAGGACACTCTGTATTAGGTTATAGAAGGACTTCCATCCTCTGATCACCATTATTGATATCAGTGAGATGGGGATCTGGGATCAGACTGGTCAGTACAGGGGAGGACACTCTGTATTAGGAGGATACAGAAGGACTTCCATACTCTGATCACCATTATTGATATCAGTGAGATGGGGATCTGGGATCAGACTGGTCAGTACAGGGGAGGACACTCTGTATTAGGAGGTTATAGAAGGACTTCCATCCTCTGATCACCATTATTGATATCAGTGAGATGGGGATCTGGGATCAGACTGGTCAGTACAGGGGAGGACACTCTGTATTAGGAGGATACAGAAGGACTTCCATACTCTGATCACTATTATTGATATCAGTGAGATGGGGATCTGGGATCAGACTGGTCAGTGCAGAGGAGGACACTCTGTATTAGGAGGTTATAGAAGGACTTCCATCCTCTGATCACCATTATTGATATCAGTGAGATGGGGATCTGGGATCAGACTGGTCAGTGCAGAGGAGGACACTCTGTATTAGGAGGTTATAGAAGGACTTCCATCCTCTGATCACCATTATTGATATCAGTGAGATGGGGATCTGGGATCAGACTGGTCAGTACAGAGGAGGACACTCTGTATTAGGAAATTATAGAAGGACTTCCATCCTCTGATCACCATTATTGATATCAGTGAGATGGGGATCTGGGATCAGACTGGTCAGTGCAGAGGACGACACTCTGTATTAGAAGGTTATAGAAGGACTTCCATCCTCTGATCACCATTATTGATATCAGTGAGATGGGGATCTGGGATCAGACTGGTCAGTACAGAGGAGGACACTCTGTATTAGGAGGGAAGGAAGGAGAAGGATCAGATTCCTCAAATCACAAAATCCACATAGAAAGGTCTCCACAATGTGAATAGTGAAGGCAGGAAGTATGCAGAGCCTGTCCTGTGTGTTTGATCTTAGGAGTCCAGGGACATGGGGTCACCCAGAGCATAGAACATCCATGGAGTCACCTCCGGATCACAGCCCCCACCCCAGGAACATGTGAAGGATGACACCTGTCAGGTCACACAGTGGGGCGCGCAACTCCACTCTGACAACCACCCGCTACCCAGCACTGACCTACCAACCTCCTCCTCCGCTGCTGTCCGAACCTTGCGGAAGTGGAGATCACACAAGCCTGGTACACATGCCGGGACACTGCGCATGCGCAGCTCCCTCTCACAGGCTCCAGGAACACATGCCGGGGCACTGCGCACGCGCGCTCCCTTTTCCGGGCTGCGATCTGCGGTTAGTGAGTGGATATAGATGGACTTTAGTAGTGCTCGGTGCTGTGTGCGATAAATCCGAGCAGAATGACACAAAGAGAGATATTCAGCGGCGTGGTTGTCAGGAATGGCTATCTGTCCGTATAGTCGTACAGACGGGTGCAGCCTGAAACTTGCTGAGTCCAGAAGAGCCCTCTGATAATTAGGCCTGGACTGGGGCGGGATTCCAGCACCCCGGGCCTTGACCTAGCTGGGTGTTCACGTGCCGTTGGTGTGCCCCTCCTTGGCTAAGACACTTGTCTGGGCAGCAGAAATCATCCTACCGTCATTGTCCAAATGTGGCCTACCATCATTGTCCAATGGGTAATAATGTCAGCCAACAGCCCACCTTTTGTTTACATTTAGCTGGGTAAATGGTTGCTATGACACCAGCAGCTGCCAGCTTCATAGCAACCAGGAAGCCCTGTGCTGCAAGCTGTCAGCTTTTCTGAGAACTGACAGCAATTATTTATGAATCTGATGCAGCCCTAGCAACTGAGTTTAAAGTGGTGGAAATAGGAACTTGTGGCACGTGTCAGATCTAATGAAACTAAACCAACGCTAATCTGAATTAGGTGGAATTGTGATGATTGATATTGATTTTTTACTCCATTGTGGCTGCTGAAAAGTTCCAGGGGAGACATGTTCTTTAGTAATAATCAAGGGATGTAGCAGCAGTAATCACAATTTCACCATATTTATGTATTTGAATGAGGCGTAGGGCAGGGATATCATAACTGGGTCTCTGTGCTTCTGTATGCAGGCAGGGATAGCCGGGTGCTGTACTTCACATCCTGAAAACATCCCAGTACCCCGCCCCAGTACTCCTCTCAAGAACCCCCAGCCCTGATGCAAGTCATGGGCTTCTTCTTGGGAGCAGTTATGGAAATCTCAAAATGCTTTGATGGCTGAATGTCAGTCTGGTGGAGTGGACGTTCCTCGGCAGGCTGCTGTACTTGCATGCAGACTGCCCTCGGTATTCCTACATGTGATGCTGAGCCTCCATGATTGCCGGTGTAAACTACAGGCAGCATAAAAGCTCCATATACTCCTTCAACACCATGATTGTACTGAGCTTGTATGCTGCCTGCCATTACACCATTATACATGCTGGTGAGTGCAGTGTGCTTCTGGTGGTTGTCATGGTGACACGTGAAAAATATCTTAAAGCAGAGTTCCACCCATTTTTCATTCTTTACCTGATTATGTTGTCCCCATGAAATAAAGAACAAGTTGGGTATTTTTATTTTTTTTTTAATATACATACCTTTAAATCCACTGCAAGCCTGCAGTTCCAGTCCCGGCCGCCTAGGCGATGATGTCATAAGGCAATTTGCAAGGTCTCCTGGGATGTCGTTTCCTGTATCCCAAGAGTCCTTTGGTTTCCTGTAATCACGGGACTTGGAAACCGGAAATGATGCGAATGGGAGTCCAGATTACAGGAAGATGTGGATGATGTATCCTGCTGCGTCCTACACTGTGCTCTATGCTGGAATTGCACAGTGGGTACATTGCGCTGAGCAGTGTCTGTACTGCGCAGGCGTGAGAGCGAGTGGTGCATGCTGGGATAGCCAGCAGCACCAATTCCCAGAAATAAATACCTGTGGGCTTCAGATGCCCACAGCCATCATAGCGCCTGCCTGCTTCTGAGATCATGGTAAATTTTTAATAATTACTAAGTAATTACAATGCTTTTACTATTGAATTATTCCAATTGTTAATGCTATTTTAAAGGTTATCATGGATCTGCTTTTACCAAAAATGTATTAGGGGGACTGTGGCTCCGCTTTAATCACCTGGATGTTCTTAACCACTTGCCTCCTGCGGCAGGGCGGCACCGCTGTGCTAGAGCACGTAAAAAAAAACGGCGTCTAGCAACACAGGTAGGGGGCGCGCGTCCTCCCTTCCTGCGCCGCCGATCGTGGCAGCGGGTGTCCATCACCAGATCCCGGCGGGTCATTACCCGCCGGCTCCCGGTGATTAGCAGCACTCGCTGACAGAGAGCACGGCTGCAGTGTTTGCACTGCACCTCTGCTCCCTGTCAGCTCCTAACACACTGTCAGGGAGAGCAGAGATTAGCTTTCTGGGACAGTGTGTCCCCCTGAAGTACACAGCCCCTGCCCACTAGTAAAACACTCCCCTCACACAGTTAACTCTTTCATTCAATAAAAAAAACCCCTTCCTCCCCAGTGCCATTAGTACAGTGTCAGTGTTTTTTTTTTTTCCACTCATCACTGTATTGGTGTCACTGGGGATGTCGGTGACCCCAAGTCAGTTCTCCCCCAGTGTAAAAATGTCCGCTGCAGTCCCGCCATAAGTCGCTAATCACTGTCATAAATCGCTGATCACCGCCTTAAGTCGCTGATTGCCGCAATTATTATTAAAAAAAAATTCCCAGTATCTTTCCCGCCATTTTTAAATGCTATAACTTTCACATAAACCAATTAATTTACACGTATTGGGATTTTTTTTTTTTAGCAAAGACATGTCGCAGAATACATTATGACAAAATTTGATTTTTAAATTTTTTTTTATAGGACATGTTTTTATAGCAAAAAGTCCAAAATATTGTTTTTTTTTTCTCAAAATTGTCAGCCTTTTTTTTTTTAATCGCAAAAAATAAAAACTGCACAGGTGATCAATTACCACCGAAAGAAAGCTCAATTTGTGGGAAAAAAAGGACGTACATTTAATTTGGGTGCAGTGTTGCACGACCGCGCAATTGTCAAAGTAACGCAGCGATGTAACACAAACCGCTTCTGTAACCGCTTCCAGAATTTGTGCTATAGGGCGGCAAAATCACATATATATATATATATATACACACACACACGTGATTTGTGCTCCCGTGGTTTTCACACCCCTCAAAGATAGCGTCAGATTGCCCCTCAGTACACCAGTCATCACATTTAACCCCT